TCAGCATTGTGGCTGTCCAGCCATAATGAGCAGAGAGTCCCAAATGCCAGGGGACTCTCAGATCCTGAGCTGGCCCTCCATGGTCTGGCCACTCTTCCCCACCTGCAGTCCGTTTCTTGGAAATTCTAGCTTTATGACAAGGAAAGGGGCATCTCTCAATTCTCTCTGTGGAGTGGAGGCACTTTGCAATGCCATTAGAATGCATTAAGTCAATCCTGGTGGGAAGCACTGAGTGACAAGTGGAGAACAGAGTCTCTACCCATCAAGACTTACCGTCTGGGTGTGGAGAAAGGCAACAAGGCAACTTTGAACAACAACGTAACACGCTCTCAAGCATGGGGTGGGGGCGCCTAGTGGCAGGGTGAGGGCTGAAGAAAATGGCTTTGGGACATGGGAGTTATGGCCACGGGATACCAAAGGAAGTTGGTCAGCAGTTCCTGCCACCCTAGAATTGTCTCTCTGGGAGCATCCCAAAAGTCTTTGGAGAGGGAAGGTCCCACATTGCCCAGGAACCAGCCCCGTCTGCCTTTTCTCCCTGAGTTAGGCTCAACCAGGAGAAATGCCTACAACTGCCCTGCAGTCTGCCTGGTAAGGGTAAGGCACACACTCCTTGGGGCAAAGAGGTGATTGTGAACTTGAGGCCCAACATCAGTGAGGTATGGAAGAGCCCAGAACTCTAACCTACTACCTCCCAGGCCAGCCACCCACAGGGTGTGGGCGGTAGGATTCACTAAGATACCAACTGGAAACAGCTCTCATCTGTGAGTTCTTCCCCAGAATGGGTAGTGGCTTCTCCTCTTTCTCTCTCTCTCTCTCCCCCTCTCCACTTCCCTATTCTCTCTCACTCTTTCTCCCAAGCACATATTTGGGTAAGTGTCTCTGCTAATCCCAACCAGGCAGAATAATACCGGCTGGCCTGGGGCCTGGCGCTGTGTGGGTATGTGCAGAAGAACCAAGCACCCACTCGAGGCTGCAGTCTGTCGGAGTGGCAGGGAGTTCAGCTACAAAACAGAGAGGAAGCCTGTGAGTGGTCTGTGTGTGTTAAAGTGCCTCAAGGATGAGCTTCCCAAAGAACTCTGAGTAGCAACCTCACCAAGGGAACATCCGGGTGGCAGCCCAGTCGCCCTAACCCTGGGCCAAAGACATCAAAGAATCAACAGGCTTCTGGGAGTCAGACTTGCAGACAAGAGGTCACTCTGTGTCTTGAGATACCCGAGTGCCCGAGTGTGTAAAGAGGCTTAAAATCCAGGCATCAGAGTGACACGTTTTCCACCAAAATGTGCAGGATCTGAACTAGTATGTGTAACAGGTGAGTGTGTGAGGGTAGTGGGGAAAAGGAGAACTGGAGGGGATACAGGGTTGACTGGAGAGAAGTGGATGGAGGAATGTGAGGGGGTAGAGAGACCTGGCGTCCATGGGGGTGCAGGAGGAGCTGGGAGTAGTGCTGACCGTTGAGGTGTGCAGTCGGGTAGGAATGTGCTAACGAACTCATCCAGGCTTCCCTTTTCCCGCCGCGCGCGCCGCAGAGGCCGTACCCGCAAGGAGAGGGCTGCAGCAGGCTCAGGTCCTCTGTCCTCGCGCAGGGCGGGAAGCCCGTGGGTATTTCGGGGCCCCGCCAGGAAAGGGCACCACGGGACCTGGTTCGAGCAGCCGGAGGCGACGCGGGGCCAGGCGACTCGTACCCGGGAAGCGCTGCCCGCGTCGGGGCCGCTGGGCCGCTCACCTGGCAGGACCCCGCCGCCGGGATCCCGAGAGGCGCGGCCGCTTCGGCGCCTATTGCAGGATTCCCGGCGGTGCAGAGAGAAGCGTCTCCCTCCATCCCTCCCTCAGGGCCGAGTGAATTGCTCACGGCGGCTGTCGGGGCCTCGCGGGCGCGGGGCTGGCGCGGAAGCCGGGCCGCGCCCGGTCGGCGGGTCTCCCGCACCGTGTCAGCCCGCGGCGCCCGCGCGGGAGGACAAGGCACGGGCGGCTCCTGAGCTGCAGCTGCAGGCCCCGGGAAAACCGGGCGGAGAGGCTAGGAGCTCCGCCCGGCCCTCGGAGGTGGGCACCGCCCCGAGGTCACTGAGCTGGGGCTCGGCGTCGCCGCAATGGGGCGGGGAGAGAGGATGCCCCCCCCCCAACAAGCCTCGACGCGGTCTGCCTGCCGGACGGGATCCCGACCTCCCCAGGAAGCGGGGCCCTACCCAGCCGGCCCTAGAGGGTTGAGAAGTAAACCAAGGCGCGCCCCACTGCTTCCTGGAGAGATCAATACCTGAAAGGAGCAGGACCTGTCCACTCAGAAAATCCTTTAGTGGAACTCCTTCCTTTACCCCCACCTCCTACACACACACACACTCTCTCTCTCTCTCTCTCTTTAAAGGCTGAAAAGGGAGCCGAGTTTGGAATTCGGGGAAGTGATGACACACAAAACAATGCTGCTACACCTGGCTGCTGCAGGCCAGCAGCGGAAATGCCTGTGAGGGTGAGAGAGAGACAGAGAGCCAGCCTGGGTGGTCAGAAAAAAAGAGGAGAGGAGAGGAGAGAGCACACACACACCCCCAGGTTGGGGCCAGACCCAGCTGTTTTTTCCCCTGCCCAGGCCAGGGGGAGGATGGGTGCTAGGGTGGATCTGCTGCAGCCCCAAACCTCACACCACTCCCACCCCTAGCCTGGGCATGGATGGGGGTGAGAAAGAAGAAAAGCACCTGCACTCCTGCTCAGGAGACAGCCACAGAGGTTTTTGAAGAGGTGCTGCTTATGCCGGTGTATACTGGGAGCAGCGGGAGAAAACAATCAAGCTACTTTGAGCTACTTTCAATGGTGGGTAGAGGGGGGTATTTACTGAGGTGAGTTTAGGAGAGCCCTGTTCCCTCTTACTGTAATGGTCAGACCAGACTGCCCTGCTGCCCTCTCTGGAGTCATTTTCAAGATGCTGAATTCCAAAGAGCCCCATCACCCTGTCCTCCTTTCCTTTAATCTCAGAATCTAGATCAGAGAGCTGAGTGGGAAGCAGGCAACCCATGCAGGTGGCCGTGGGTGCTGGGGCCATAGGCCACTAAGGGCTCCTCAGGCTTCCTCAGAGACAGGGCAGCCTAGGAGGAAGTGGTAGTAATGAGCATTGGGGCGGCCACTCTGGCCATGCCAGTCCAGACATAAAACACACCCCTGCATGACACCCCTTCAGTCCACCTTCCTCCCCAAAGTACCCTGGCCCCCTCAGTACCAAGCAGTTTGGGGCATGAGGATTCAAAACACCGGATGGGCATCTCTCTCACACTTTAAGATTGCAGACCTTTTGTTAAGGCTAAGTTAGCTGTTAAAAAGCACAGCTGCCTTTCCTGCCAGCATTAATTTCCCCTGAGACGATCTCCGGGCATGCAAGTGTGACTGGGAACCATTCAGACTTCTGCTGAAGGTAGGTGAGCATTCACCCTTCAGCCCTGGAGAAAGATCAGAACGAATGTCTTGTCAGGAGAGAGATTTGAATAAATGCCTCCCTCACAGCCTCTTGTTTTTCTTCCCAGTCCATGACAGAATACTGACAAAGAAATGGGTAAAGAGAAGAAAGGAGAGAGGGTAGGAGAGTGAAAAGAGAGAGAGGAAGAAGAAAGATGCAACATCCCAGAACCACACTTACTGATAGGTGACACATATGTACCATTACATATCGTAAGTATAAATGTTTACCCCATAAATATAAATCTCACCTTGTACGTGTGCATACCTGTGTTTTTGCACCAGCACATGTGCACCTGGGCCGCTGGTATCTCACGTGTCTCAAGAACAGACCCTCCCCGTGACTTCTATATGTAATAGCGGTGCACACGCAAATGAAGTCCCCCAAAGACCCGCAGCAACGCCCGTGTTGGAGCAGGACTAGAGTGGGGCTACTTGGTGTTGTTAAAGCACACATCCAACTCGTAGGATTACAACGCGGATTCTGAGGAGGGGTCTGGTCTCTAGGTCCAGGGGCAGCGCAAGGAAGGGCAGAGGGGCTTCAGACGGAGCTCCTGGGCGCCTCCTCCCCGATCGTCTCCCCAGCCCCATCCGGCCCAGTCACTCTGGAAGCGCGACGGACAGGCTAGGCCAGGCCGAGGTTTCTTGGTTCAGTGACACGCGTTTCTGGGCTGATTTTCCCAAAGCCACCGCGCAGCTCTCTCCACCCCACCGCCGTCCGGCCCCCTCGCCGTCCCGCCCCTCCCCCAGCCCCAAGCCAGAAGTTTAGCCCCGAGACCGCAGCAAAGGGCAGAGCCGGGGAGTCGTTTTCTTTCACCTGAAAGCCGCGAGGAGGCTTGGCGCGCCTCTCCTCGCTAGGGCCCGAGCTCCCTGGGCACTGGCCGAGTGCGGACGGACCCCGCCGGGGCCCTGGGCATCTCCCGGCCCAGTCCGCTGAGCGAGCACCCGCGGATTGCAAGGGCTTGCGAGAGCGTGAGCCAGGTCGTCCGCCGGGCCCCCTCAGCTCGCTGGGAGGGGGCAGGCCGGTCCGGGCTGCGCGGGGCGTTTACAAAAAGTGACTTGGAGATGAACTCGCCCGTGCGCGACTGGCCGCCCCGCTATAGGGGCGAAGGCGCCTGACGCAAGCGGAACTCGGCGGAGCCCATACGAATCAGAACTAAGCGAGGCTCCTGGCGCACTAGGGACTCCAGGAGGCAGCTCCGCCAGAGACGCGGGTCGTGCCTCGGGAAACCGGAGGGTGGGGGGAGGGGAAGAGCGCCGAAAAGAAAACCCACCGAGGCGGGGACTGGCCTGGGCGGGGAGGGGCGGCGGGGCCGGAGCCCCTCTCTGTTGGGCGGACTCCCCATGGCCAGAGGCTGAGCTCCACTCCCGCCGGCCGCTCCCTAGGGGAAGGGAAAGAGGAGAGGAGCGGAGCGAGAGGCCGCCAGCGAGCGAGCACGGGCGGCATCCGCAGTCTCCAGAAGTTTGAGACTCGACCGTGAGCGGACTTGTGCGCCCGGACTCTGCCGCGCCAGCACCAAGGGAAAAGAGCAGGGGCTGCCTGGCCGCGGCGCGCCGGCTTTGTCATGATGGCCAGCTACCCCGAGCCCGAGAACGCCGCGGGGGCCCTGCTGGCGCCGGAGACCGGCCGCGCAGCCAAGGAGCCGGAGGCACCGCCGCCGCCGAGCCCCGGCAAGGGAGGAGGCGGCGGCGGCGCCGGGACAGCCCCGGAGAAGCCCGACCCCGCTCAGAAGCCCCCGTACTCGTACGTGGCGCTCATCGCCATGGCGATCCGCGAGAGCGCGGAGAAGAGGCTCACTCTGTCCGGCATCTACCAGTACATTATCGCCAAGTTCCCGTTCTACGAGAAGAACAAGAAGGGCTGGCAGAATAGCATCCGCCACAATCTCAGCCTCAACGAGTGCTTCATCAAGGTGCCGCGCGAGGGCGGCGGCGAGCGCAAGGGCAACTACTGGACGCTGGACCCGGCCTGCGAGGACATGTTCGAGAAGGGCAACTACCGGCGCCGCCGCCGCATGAAGCGGCCCTTCCGGCCGCCGCCCGCGCACTTCCAGCCCGGCAAGGGGCTCTTCGGGGCCGGAGGCGCCGCGGGCGGCTGCGGCGTAGCGGGCGCGGGGGCCGACGGCTATGGCTACCTGGCGCCCCCCAAGTACCTGCAGTCCGGCTTCCTCAACAACTCCTGGCCGCTACCGCAGCCGCCCTCACCCATGCCCTACGCCTCCTGCCAGATGGCGGCGGCCGC